CTTGGAGCTGTTTTTTTGGATATTTGGGGATGTCAGTGTCTGATTTCTGTTGATGCAGCTTCTTTTCCAACCGTGTATTCTGAGTGATGTCTGAGCCTTCTGAGGCTGCTTGGTCAGTTTAAATATCTCTTCACACAGCAGACTGTGGAAGGGGATGGTCCTGTGGAGCTCTGATGGGTTAGCAGGACTTGTAGACTCTGAGAGTTTACTTATAAACTCTTGCTAGGGTACAAGTATGCTGCTGAGGACTTGCTTTGGTGTTCTCCCTTTGGTTTGGTTTCCTTTCACAAAATCACAGGATGCTGCTGAGGTTGGAAGGGACCTCTAGAGATCATCTAGTCCAACCCCCCTGCTTGAGCAGGGACACCCAGAGCACGGGGGCCAGGGTCACATCCAGGTGGGTTTGGAAGATCTTTGGATGATGGTGCAAGGAGGATGATGCCTGACAGTACCAGTAGCAAAAGCCTGGGATAAACGTGACTGACTGTGACACAGAATTTTTTTAATCATGTATGCCATAGTGGTGCTGTAGACTGTAAAAACTTGAGCAATTTCACATAGTTGGCAGCTTGTTGAATCTCGATTCTCTTTCCTTTCTGGGAATTAATTTGTGTACTCCCGCGATGAAGAAATGTCTTGTTTTGCAGAGACGAGTGTGCTCCAAATATGAATGATAATCTGCTACTTCTATAGCAACAGGGTGGAGATGCCAGGAGATGAGTTCTTTTCAATTTCAACTATAAATTGGATTTATTTACTAAAGTTACAGGTATTATATTCTATAATAAAACCTGTCCTTGAATTTCTATCCGGCAGCCTGGGAGTACTTAATCCTTTACAATATAAGCTAGTAAATGATCCTTTTAGAGACAGTAAGGTTTGGGGAATGTGGTAGTTTGCCAGTCCGGGACTTAGTCACCTGTCTGGTAGCAAAATATTCTTGAGAGTTTGGAGACCAGCTGATTTTATGCGAGGAAATAGTTAAAACATATGTATAGTCTTCATATGGTATTTTGCGAGCGTGACTAACAGTAGCAATATGAACTTGTCCGAAGCATTGAGACATTTGGTTTTAGCTCATATTGAATTGTTCTGGTTCTTAAAAAAAAAAAAAAAAAAAAAAAAAAGTTGATTCTTTTAATTAAAAAAAAAACAAAAACAATGCTTTTAGAGTTTCCATGAATGAAAACTTACTTTCCAACCCTCCTTGTGTTTCACCGTTCCCTATTTTGATGAAAATCTTCAGGCGTGTGTGAAGTTAATCTGTCGTCTCTCAGATGATGTGTGACATCTGTCAGGTGCTATTTACTGACTGTGGCAGGGCAACATATTGAAGTGATTCAGTTACCTTTGAGAGGCAGGGGCCTTATCTATAAGAGGAGAAAAAGGCAATGCTGCTTGACTCCAAATGGGATAGGCAAATAAAGCATATTGTTTGGGAACCTCCTCCTCTAGCATGGCAAATAAGAGAGGGAATTGGAATTGTTTCTAGGTTTTGGAAGCCACCTGAAGCAATAGCTCTCTAAGAATTGTGACAAGATTGCTACAAGTCACAGTCTTAAGTAAAAATTGGTATTATTATAGGGTATCTTCAATGGCTAATCAGATCTGCCGCATTAGAATTGTTATTGGAACCGTAATTCATTTCTTCTTATTTAATTTGTGAGATAGGAAGAAGTTTGAAAGGAAATTGCAGCATCACCTGCTTGTCATTATTTTGGTTTCCTAGGAGGATACAAGGATGCTTTGGGGATGAAAAATGTATGTGCTTATTAGAAGGATATCTTTTAAGAAACCTGAGAGGTAGATGTGAATATGGCTCGTACTTTATCTTCTCTTTAGAGCAGCTATTTATCAGACAAAAGAAGAAAAAAAAGAATAGTTTTGTTTTCCTGTGTCAAGTAATTGTATATTTATGCCAGGTTTGAGTAATTGGTGACAAAAGGTATGAAATTTTAAAGCCTCGTACGGTATTTGTTTGAATCACAACAAATTAATTAACTGCTTTCTGCTTTCTTTTACTCTACTGATACCTTCTTGTTGACAAATAGCACCTTATTAGACTATCTGGAATCTACAAACCATCAAAAATGTATGAAAAGATTTATGAATAAATCAGCCTGCTTTGTTTTATCAGTCCTTAGACTTTCTAATTCAAGCAGCTGAAAAGAGTGCAGTTCTTTTGGGGTCAGAACATTCAAAAAAAGAGAAAACGCCCTCGGGTGCTCTCCTCAAACCTGCCTTGTCTGAATGCCTGGGTGCTGCTGCTTAGCACTTCAAACAGGTCCTATCTTCGTCCTCAAGCTCTTCTCTAGTCCATGTTCTGTTGCTAAATCACAAGTTTAAAGAGGAGCATGAGTTAACCTAAGACGATGATGTGTGGTTGGTGTTTAATGAACTAGAAAGCCCCGCTGGCTTTAAAATTTCCTTTTTGAAACTCTTTAAAGTGTATTGGAGTTAAATAAAAGGCATCTTAAGCGACAAAAATGTTTTGCAATATGGAAAAAAATTCTACCTCGAAACATTTTATGTAGCTGTTTTCAAAGATGTCTTAAAGATGTTGGGTACTTTTTATTATGGGATTTTTTTTTTTTTTTTTTTGTAAGTTATGTAGGAACAGGCTGATGTATTTCCATAGGTACTGGTGAAAACCTCAGTCAAAAACTCCAATTTCTGACTTAGGCTGTTAGCGTTGTGCTGGATTTAGGTGCAATTGCGTGTGTCATTGCTCAGTGCAGAACTTTAGCCTTTGCCAAGGGACCAGTCGGGGAATATTTCTTCCGAAGCTGCAATACTTGTCATGGGAACCTAAGCATAGCTTAAGAATAGCAAATGCTGAGTATAACAAAACCCTGTTTTTGAAGGAAGCGCTCTTGTTTCAGGACAATAGAGTTGAAATTTTTATTATTATTTTTTTAATTTGGTGCAGCAAAGGTTATGCGATGACAGGCGGATCCATAAGTGATGCCGAGGTGCTCGGCAGCGGCTGTTCTGACACTGTGCTGTATAAACACCCATAAATAACCCTCCCGGACAGCTATCCCTGCCAGCAGCGCCACTCGCCTGATTTAGGGGGATCTGAAGCAAAAGAAATACTTACCTGCCATGCCCAGCTGCGAGGCTCTAATGGGGCTGCTATTTTTTTTTTCTTGGGGTTCACTGTATTTGGCACTTTTTATCATTTTTGTCCGCTTGTTTCATGTTTCAAAATTCAGGAGTTGAGGAATCATTTGAGCCCACGTGTCTGAGGGGCTGGTGTGGAGGAGAGGAGCCCGTCCTGCGTAGCGCTGCTCAGCGAGCTGATGCTGAAGCATCCCACAGGGCTTTTCTTTGGCAGCAAAATGATTTGGTCTCGGATGAGCCACAAGCAGCAGCAAAATGACACTGGATGAGGGGGATAGTGGGGCCGGAGATTCCCAAGATTCCCAAGAAAAGGAGGTCTCACATGTCGCTTACACTGCTTCCAGTGGGCTGCTAGAGGCTTTGGCTTCAGGAAGCATTTTAATGTCTTACATCCTTTTCTTTTTTTTTTAAAGAGCTATTTTTGAGATGAATTAATTGCATGAATTGAGATGAATTAACTGTTCACAAAGCTCTCGAAAAAGTGTTCTTAAAAAATTAAGAGTATTATCGAATGCCGCTGTGTTTCAAAGCTGGTGCTGTTGTTTTGGGATAGCGAAAGGGAACAGTAGTTTTGAACTAGGCTGCAGTATCTGAGATGCAGGGAGCAGTTTCATGATTTTTGTGGCACTTTGAAAGAAAAAGAGGTACTTTTTGTACTTTTGAAAAGGTACTTTTGAAAGAAAAACAGGACAATCGTTTGTATTGCAGGACGGCTGTGTCAGTAAGATGTGTAAGTCAACAAACTAATGCAAAGAAATTGTTATTAGATGGTAGCCGTCTGGAGCAAACAGGGAAGTTGCATAAAAGGAGCTCTCGGTGATGTATAGCATTGCTCTAAAGTGCTGGGCTTGCACAGAAGGCCTTGTGCTTTTTGAGGTCTGAGCTCCTTGTAAATGCCAAACAGTGGTTTCCCTTTAAAAATCAATAGTCATAAAATATTTTTTTGCAAATATTCAGTTTTCCAAACATATTGATTCCTTCTGTATTGTTTTACACCCTCTCCGGGTTTCTCCAGCCTGGGTGAAATATTTGGAGGCCGGTTAGAATAAGGAGCTTACGGAGAAGCTGCTCGAGGACTGGCGGTGCTGGGAGCGCATTTGGAACAGGAAACGGGATGGATTTGCAGACCTGGATAGGGAGGAATCCTGGATAATTACAGAGGAGCCCCCTGTGACTGCGAGCAAACCCAACCCTCCTCCTGCGGAGCAGAAGGGTTGGCTCTTTCCAACCTATGGAGCCTGTTTACAAAACGGACATAAATCGACAATATTCGAGGCTTGTTCTGAAAACTAACAGGGTTTGTGATTAAATAGATGGAGCCTTTTTGTTTTTCCCCCTCCTCCCTTTGCATGCTGCTGTGTGCACTTGAACACAAGCTGCCATTGTGCAGGCTGGTCCCGCAGGGGCTTTCTCCTATCATGCTCGGCGTTTAATCTTTTATATGTGAGGCTCTTTGTGCAGATGGGTTCTGCATTGTGCATATTCATTGAAATTGCTGGGACGACCAACATTTAAATACTTATCTGTCAAATGTATCCAGAGTTCCCTACCAGTTTGGGCTGAAAGTTCTAGTTCAAGGAGGCTTTTGGTGAATAGTGAAATAAAATCCCATTCAGGTGCATCAGGGGCTGCCTTGACCAGGTGCTCCCGAATACCAAGTCACTGGCTATTTCTAGTGCACCGTTCACTTGAGCATACAAAAAAGTAGTTATTTGCATTTACATTTAGCACTTGCAGTTATTGTAGGCTGAATTTGAGGGCTAAAACCTTGGATTTGGGTTGCAAATCAGTGCTTGGAAATAAATAATTGGCTGCACTCTGTAATGGGAGAAATGGGAAATGAGGAACACCTGGGTGTAGCTGGTGTAGAGCTTCCCATTGCTCTCACGCTGCCTGTAGAGCCTGGTCAAATGATTCCGCTGGAATATTAAAGTAAGTTTTGTTCTTTTTTCTTTCTTTTTTTTTCTTTCCTTCCCTGCTTGAGGCATATGATTCAGGAGGAAAAAAAAATGATTCTGAAAACAATCATCTCTTTTTTTGTTATACTGATGTGAATGATGTTCTAGTGAAAATTATGTGTTAAGGTATGGTGTTGCCTAGCAAAGATGTCAGAACTGCCTGCAGGAGACGCAAATCATTGAGGAAATTTATTGTAATTTCCTTTGACGAATGAATTCTAGGGAAGAGAGAAAATATTAAAGGGGGAAAAAAGGGAGAATGAAGTGTCTGTCCTTACACAGTGCGCTTTGCTTTGGCTCCGGCCGTCTCTGGATGGGTTTGGAAGAGCAGATGCAATTCCAGGGTTTGTAGGAAGATCTGGGCTTTCTTGCATCAGAACTTAGGGCTGGTTTGGGCTTCTTGGGTCATCCCTTGGTCTTGGCTCGTGGACTTGGAGTCTCCAGGACCCTTCTGGGTCACCCAAAGTGGCTCCTCTGCCAGCTACTTTGCAAAATTAAGGCACCCAAACCCTTTGAAATTCAGCAGAATTACGATTTTAGGAATATGCTACCGTCTCGAATACACCTGCATTGGTTTGGGGGTCCCATTAACTCAGAAAGCAAAGCCCTGCTTGGAGATACCTAATGCACTATTTTGTAATGTGCCCATCAATATCCAAATGAAGGATTAAGCAAAAGATCTAGCTCTCGCTAGCGCAAGCATGTTCTTTCCTGGCGATATTATCAGAGCCATTAAGCTCTGTAAAAGGTAAAAAGGGATTAATTAGTTTGGTTTTCCTTCTGTGCTAAAACTCCAAATGCAACATGATTTTAAAGCCTTTTATTTTATTTTTACATTAATAGTGCAGAAGTTTAGGTATGACATTAAGTTAGGCTCTAATTGCTAATCAAACAGAAATGTATTCACGTCCTTGTAGGGATGCAGAAGCTGTGCCCATTAGTAGAAATTGTTCTCTCCTCTTTTAGCTTGCAAAGAAGCAATGGAGTTTTGTTTTGTTTGGGGTTTTTCCTCAAGATTAGGAAGAAAAAAAATAGGAAAATAAGGAAAAATACCCAGTTTCAGCTATTTTCATCTGCCAGCAAGAGCAACCTTGTTTCTTGTGTGCAGATAGATACGTACCTCCTTTTATTAATAATGATCGTAATTAGAAAATTGCCAACATATGGATGCCTATTTATGTAACACTTCATATATGTTTGTATACACACATATGAATGAAATTTAGTTTGTTTATAAAACAGAGCATTTGGAGAGCTCCAGGAAGCAGAGGTGAATTGATGAAATAGAAGAAATGTGCCCAATTTAGCTCTACAAAAATACGCTGGCAAGTAGCAGGCTATTATATGCAGGTTATATGTGATGGTATTAATTTTCAAACTCAGACAATGTATTATAGCAAAATTTTAATTTGTGAAATAGTTCTATTGTTTTTTAAGGAATTTATAATTATATTTATAATTTGTATTTAATATATTTTATATTATAATATTTAATTTATAGTTATTTATGTGAATCTGGTTGTGTTTGCATTTCTCATAACCCTCTTGTGTTCATTGTGTCTGGGACAAAGTGGTGCCTGCCTTAAGACCTGGAGAGCTCTGGAAGGGCAAGTCCAAGCCCAAGGGAAAAGAGACATGTACTGGGAATTTTACATAAAATAATTTTAACAGTTTTCTAACAAAGCTTTTCTGTACTGGTTTGATAGCATTGATTATTAGACTGCCAAAACTGCTGAAAGGTTAATTGGACGGGCAGAGTTTTGTCCTGATGTTCATGTTCTCTGCCCCTTTTTTGCCCAATCAAGATCTTGAAGGTGGTTGAGAAAATCTTTGGATTAATTCGAAGAGCTCAAAGTGTAACTTCACACAAGTACAAGCAAGGAACCAAAGGTGTTAAGGAACTGCTCATGAATTACTTCTCTAAGAAGTTAGAAGATGTGTATAAGGGCAAGGTAATCAGATCAGTTAATGCCCAGATGTGGGTCAGAAGCGAATACCAAACCCTCTGCAACATGAGCAGATATCAACTTGGAATGATGCTCTATGTGCCTCTTAAGGAGCTGGGACTTGGTGGTAGTAGCTGCATAGATCCAGACATCACTTTTTAGCTGCAAAACTTACCGAGAATTGGATAAATAACTGGTCTGCCAGCCATAGGAAGGCCATAGGAAGTCAGCAGATCCTCCCCATCTTGGGAGCAAGGAGGGGGACAAGTTGTGTGTCCCCTCTGTCATTCATTAGCCTGTACATACATTAAGAATTTCCCCAACTCTTGATTTCCAACCCTCCCACGCCCCCCTTCTGGCTTATGGGGGATTAACGTCAAGTAACCACTTGGATATACGGCCCCCAGATGAGGGATAAACGCACGCGGGGATCCTTATGGCCTAGACAATGTTCCCAACAGAAGTGCTGGAGTCTTTAATGGCATGTGAGATGCACACTGTGCACTTAATTGCTATTCTGTTCCTCTGTAGGCAGGCACTAGGATGTAGCTTCTGACGGAGAAACATCCATCTTGGTAAGAAACAGCCAGCTTTTTTCCCCTGGTGTCCTTTATGGGCAGCAGTTCTCTCTCTCCTCCCTGAAAGTGTGTTCCTCAGAACAGGTACCTTGTGTATAATAATAAGTTTTAACCATTTAAGGGTGGTAGTGACAGCGGAAACTTCTGCTTTCAGTCTCACATCAGAGCTAAAACTCAAAGGCAAACTCCAGGCTGCTCATAAGGTCAATGTGAGAATTGGTCCAGAGTTTGAAGGATACATTGATGTTCTTGAGCCTTCACTATCAACAGGATCAGTTCTCCTAACTTGTTTTATTAGGTGGATTTGTGTTTAAATATGACAAAGGTCTCGCGGGTTAATTCAGGACATTATTGAAACACGTGCCTAAAATCAGCATTTCCAAAAAGTGTGTGATTTTCTAAGTCTGTGTTGTACATAATATAAATGGAAGGAAGGAAGGAACACTTTTTGATATCCTCATGTTTATTTTCTGCTTTTAGTCAGGGTTCCACTGGTGTCTAAGGCTTGCAAGAAAGTGAAGAGTGCCAAGCTGAGTTTAGCTTTGACACCCCTCATAAGTTACATTGTCACGTGAGTTTTCCCTCTTCTCCATGTTCTTTGTAAAAGTCAAACAAAATGGGTCATTAGGATGCATTAACTTTGGGATTCTGACCCGTAGATGATCCATAACTCTTTAAACACTGTGGTGAGTGGTTAAATGTTGTTAAATGTTTGATTCGGGACAAAGGAGAGGCTGGAGCTTGCTTTGTTTCCAAAGGCTGACCAAGCTCTCCAGATGGCCATGGGCAACCTGTGACCAAGCAGAGCCCATGATGAGGTGCTCTGGTGGGGATGGACTTGCTCCATATCCACAAGGGTGGATTTGAGAGGAATTTGACCAACTGGTCTATCTGTACAAGCAGCTTTATTAAAAGGAAGCAAGTATATTATGACTTGGATACAAATCTAGTGCAACTGCAAAAGTATTTTCATTCCTGGGCTTGTGATAGTACTACGAGTGTGCTCACCCCAGGCCCTGGCACACAGGGGAAAATTTCTAGAAGGATTAATTAATGTAAAGAGCATTTTTCCTGGCAGAGGAGAAGGTTAGGCTGGTCTCTCCAGGAAGTGGTGTTAGCAGAGAGATATGTTATCTGATTGCAGATCAGCAGAGCATGTTATCCTGCTAGGTCAAGAGTGGCCAACTTCATTCCTCCTTCCCCACAGTACTGGCACTTTAATTAGGGGAACCTTCCTGAAATTTTTGGCATCCTGAAATTTACTGGAGGGCAGTGTGATTTTTGCAGCAATCAAAATGAAATGAATTCTGAGCTTCTGGTTTTCTTTGAAAATAAATTTCTCAAAGCAGTGAATCACAATTAATGAACAGCCATATGACAGCTATTGACAGTCCCTCCAGAATATGCTACAGAGCAGGAAGATACTTTCTTCTTCTTCTTCTAATAAGACCTAATGTTACCTAGGGCTCTGTCTGAAGGCTCTTCTTGCTTTGTTAAATCTCATTATGACCACCTGAATTGCTGCATTCTACATAATGATTAAAACACTTGACTCCCAAGTGTGATGTTATAATGAGGATGGAGTTCACAGTCTAACCAGGCATTGTATCATTCTGCAAAGCCTGGCAGCACATGGAAGTGTAAATCAGACTCCTCAGTGTAAGTTCCATGGTGTTTCCACGGGAGAAAAAAACATTTTACATACACATATACATATTTACATGTATGTATGCAGGTTTCCAAGTCTGAATAAGCATGATCTGAAGGAAAATACATTCTGCATATTTAAGTCTTGCTTATCTGTCTTGTTTATAAATCTCAAAATCAAACTGGAGAAGTAAGGATAGGAAATAAAATCACATTCTGCCAAGATCCTCTGGAAGAACCTTGAGTGAGCACCTCTGACGTCCTTCAGCACGAGGATCGAGCATAAGAAGGGAATAGTGTGGGTCAAGTACTCCTGAGGTATGAAACAAATTACCTGGAAGCGACAAAAACCACTTCCACTCAACTCTTGTTTCAAAATTTTATTTTTTCAGCCCCCTTTTTGGGCTGATTTCTTGTCTTATAGATGCATCTGATTGCCCAGGTTCTGTGCTGTTTTGTTCTTGACCAGAGCAAGAGGGAGCATCACAGGATAAGGTTATGGAGGGAAGGTTGATATTTACAGGCCTTATCCAGCAATGACGGAGCCTGGTTCAGTGTAAGAAGAATGTGAAAAAATAGAGAAGAAACCCTGTTCTTGAAAAATTAGGGAACCCTGTGGGGCAGATGTCTGTCAGATAAGATTACCTGCAGGGGACTTGGTCCAGGGATGGACAACTGCTGTCCTGTCAAATAAAATTCTTTGTGAATTATCTTGGACCACTGTTTTGGCTTTGAATTAGGTAAGTCTGGCTCTGACCTCTGCCTGTGTTGCTGCTTTCAGTAATTACATTCTTCCCAAATAT